ACGTTGGTGTTTGCCGGAGTTTTTTTCTGACCTTGTGAATAGGTTGGTTTCGACAGGCGTTTGGGAGAAGATGATGCGGATGGGTGTGTCCGTGGCACGGGTGGAATAGTTTGCTTCTCGATGTGTCTGGAGAGAGAGGAAAGAGACAGAGGCTGGTCAGAATCGGTATAGATCAAAAGGCAAAGACCGGGGAAATAGTTGATCGGTCAAGTCTTGATTCAAAGCAACTAGACTTTATTGAAGCAAGGCGCATTGAAGTTAAACACTGTGTAAGTGATCTGGGCTGCCCACTGCTATAGTCACCTTCTTGGTCTCTAAGCCATATTGATTCCTACGAGAACCTGCAAAATATGTTGGCATAAATTACTCCAACTGTTTACTTATCGAAGAAGAATTTTTATAGACTAATACGAGTTTCGTAACCTGATGGATTTACAGAAGATGACACCAAGGGTCTGGTGAACGGGAAGAAAGGAAGTTCAAAAAGTTACCTAATCGGCGCCGACCTTGAGGAGAAAGCGGCCCCACTACTCCGTGCATGAGAGGTACCTACCTAAGGTACCTAGGTAGACAGGGGCAGGACGGACAGGGCCAATTCTAGGTTTCCACTGGAGCCAACCTGGGGAAATGGCGATTCTGCCTCCTGCAACACCACAACTCCACTGTCGCAACACTGATAGCAGAGGCCGGGCTAATCGGGCTTCTCGCCCAAGATGTCTCTATCCTCAGACGAAGAAGAAGAGCTCCTCTTCGACGACCAATCCTTCGCCTCCGAGTCCAGCGACGACGACGAAGAGCTACCGGCCCCGCGACCCCTGCATCACAACTTAAACTACTTTGCGCCCCCCTTCTACGGTCGCCCGCCAACCCCTCTACCTCCTTCGCCGTCACTGACGTCGCTCCTCCGCCCATCGCGACCGACGACCCCCGATGCCTCGGACGACGACTTTGAGCCCGTGCCGCGCGCGTCGCCGCAGGTGCCGACCTACGAATACTACGGCTTCGTCCTGTACCTATTCTCGACGCTGACCTTCCTCGTCTACCTGCTCTGGTCCTACCTGCCCTCGCCATTCCTCCACGCGCTGGGCATTTACTACTATCCGAACCGCTGGTGGTCGCTCGCGATCCCGGCTTTCCTCACGATGCTGGGGGTCTATATTTACATCGCGCTCGCGGCGTACAATACGGAGATTCTGACGCTGCCGCTGAGCTCCATCGAGACGGTGGTGGATGATGCCTCTAAGATTGGGACCATTGACAGCAAGGGGCGGCTGAGAGACGACCCGAAGAAGAGGTCTAGGAATAAGAGAGATCATAGGCTGCCCGGGGGAGGATACGACTGGAAGAATATATGGAACGAGGGGACGGATGCTGTTATGGACATACCGTTGGCCGGCGCGTGTGAAGTTCTCTACGGAGAAGGCCGAGATTTCGAGTCAGAGGACGAATATATTGTGACATGAAGCCTGAAATCAGCAACTAATTGAAAACGAATACAATCAAAACGAAAATGAGATACCCATTGCGCGCGAGATTCGTAGTCCAATCATATTTCAAAATGCCAAAGTGACTGGCATAGCCTTTCTATTGAGGCTCCGCTCTTTAGACCCAATGCTCAAGTGCTGTATGGTGGGATGTGACGATTTTGTAATTTAATGGTAGACATCCCTGCTCGGTCAGTAGCTCTCACCGAGAGCTCGTACAGTGTGTCGCGCTATGACACAGTGGGGTGTGGCTGGAATCTCTCAGCCTTGCACCTTCCTCCAACCACCGCGCCAAATTTTGACCAGACGCGACCTTCAATCGACCGAAGCATCGCAACAACCCACCCCACCGCCCTCGAACCATCTCAATTACTTCGGTGGATTGTCGCTTCACACGTCGAATTGCAATCATGTCCCAACAACCGCTGTCCTCGGCCGTCCAGCCGACCGACATCTACGGAGGAGGTAAGTGCCCACCGCCAGCTGTACTCTACGCGTGACCCAATCTTACCATCGCGAACAGATGAGGTCTCCGCCCTGGTCCTCGACCCAGGCTACTGCAGCACCCGCGCCGGATTCGCTGGCGAAGATGTCCCCAAGTCCGTCTTCCCGTCCTTCTACGGCCGCGTTGGCTCCTCCGATACCCCGACGACCGTCTTCGGCGACGAGTGCCTGATCCCCCGGGCCGACCTTGAGGTCCGCAACTACATGACGCGCGACAGTGTTGTCGAGGACTGGGATGTCGCCAACAAGCTTTGGGAGCACATGCTCATCACACGCCTCCAGCCCGGACGCCCGACTCACCCGTCCAAGAACGGCCTGAATGATGACCCCAAGGAGGAAGTCGAGGGAGGTGAGGCCAACGGCGACGTCGACGTGGCCATGGAGGACGTGGAGTCGCAAGAGAAGGCCCTGCAAGAGAACCCGCTCCTGATGACAGAGGCGCCGTGGAACTCTGCAAAGTCTAGAGAGAAGGCCATTGAAATTATCATGGAGAACTGGGGCTGCCCTGCGTTTTGGCTCAGCAGAACGCCCGTTCTGGCTGCTTTTGCCGCTGGCAAGGCGAGCGCCCTGGTCATTGACGTCGGCGGCTCCAACACTTCGGTTACAGCTATTCACGACGGCATGGTCCTGAAGCGATCCATCCAGAAGTCTCCCGTTGGTGGCCTGTGGCTGTCGTCCCAGATTCGCAGCCTGTGGGAGACCTCAGAGCCCAAGATCGAGCCCGTTCCTACATACATGGTCGAGAGTAAGACTCCCGTCGATGCAGGCGCTCCTGCTCAGTTCAAGGAACGCAAGTTCGACTTCTCCATCACCGACTCATTCCGCGCCTACGAGGACGACCGTCTCCTTACGGAATTCAAGGAGTCAGTGGTCGAGACCTGGCGCGGACCCGGCAAGTACGCCGTGCCGCAAAACGAGGAGTTCGCTAAGACGCAGCCCGGCCGCGTGTTTGAGTTCCCCAACGGCGCGAATCAGATGTGGCGCGAGCAGCGGTACAAGGTCTCCGAGGGCATGTGGGACGAGACCGCGGCGTTCCCGACCACCAACGAGGAGTTCCGCCTGAACAAGTCGCAGACGATCCCCGAGCTCATCCGCGCCGCCCTGAACGCTGTCGACGTCGACCTGCGTCCCAACCTCCTCGGCAACATTGTTGTCACTGGCAGCACCAGCTTGCTCAACGGCTTCAACGACCGTCTGAACAATGAGCTTACGGCCATGTACCCCGGCCTCAAGATCAAGATCCATGCTGCCGGTCTCTCCAGCGAGCGTCGCTTCGGCGCCTGGATCGGCGGCAGCATCCTGGCTAGCTTGGGTACCTTCCACCAGATGTGGATCTCGCGCAAGGAGTACGAGGAGAACGGTGTCAGCATCGTGGAGAAGCGTTGCAAGTGATTGCCGTCATTCAAGGGCCCGTTGGGGATCAAAGTTAGGATAGGGGTAGCAGGAGTATGGCGGGAGGGTCATTGTTACTCGTTACTAAGAAAAGGGCGTATGGAGTTTGCACAAAAGGCTTTTTTCTGACTATCAGAGGGAAGAGGCAGACGGTGGGCGTCAAAAGACTACCTCGCATTAAAACCGTCTTGGAAGGATGCTATCTGTACGCGTATGCAATCTGTTCCTTCATCGGAGATACATAGATTGTGAAAAATACAAAAACGTATCAAACGAACGTTCACTGCTGCGTATCTTCGCGTGGCATTTCTACTCTGCAGCGATTTGGAAATATATGTATTCGAATGTCGGGATGGAGTCGACTAGCTTACGGTTCTTCGCGTGTAGATTGCGGAGTTGCGAATGTTATAGCAGATCTTGTCTTGCATTGCGTGAGATGATCGGAGCGGGTCGATCCTCAGCCAGCCACTCGCAATCAAGGTTGGAGTCGACAATGGACAAGTAGGTAGATTAAACGTGGCTTTTTGTCCTGTTCATTGGTGAAGCATATTTGGCTTGACGCTATGCCGCATTAGTGAAAGAACGAGTCTGGGGAAATGCGATTCAGAAAAGCGATTGATGTGGAGATGGATGTCTTGAAAGGACAGAAGGGTGGCAGCTTGTCAAAAGTTTCCTTGTCTGCCATGGATCTGGATACTCTGAACAAGGACAAGTTACGATGCCTTGATTGGTATCTCAGGCATAGGAGATTACTACAACTCGAAGATGAAGTAGGCATGTCAGCATGGCTAGGTATAAGGTATGTAGTTCAGAAATCTGGACCTACCTTGAGGAAGGTAGACCTCAAGAGACGGTTTTTGCTCTTTCCTCCCGTGTAAGTGAACACGACCCACTCTTCCTCTCCTGTCTAAGTAGGTACCTTACCTTGTAGGACCTTCCCGTCCATCAACGACCTCGGGCTGTCTGTCTCTCTCAGCTAGGCACCTCAGTACCTACTTGTGCAAACCTTTTCCTTTCCGCTTCCAACTTCTACAAAGTTGACTTACCGCGGTGACCAGCTTCTTACCATCTCACACAACTTATCTCCACATCCACCATCATCAAATGCCATTACGAACACAGAAAGCACGCTTGGCCATATTGTCACCCACAAGCAGACTTTTTTGACTTCACTTTACCGATATATCGATATTTTCTTTGGTTCAACTTCGCGTTGGGAAAGCAAAACCACCATCCTCCACCGTCGATTTTAGGTATGCCATGACAGAAACAAAAACCCCATTGCCGATGACCACCTGGGGTAGAACGGGCAGGCACGGGCCACTGGCCATTGCTGCCTTCTTCGAAGCAAAGTAATTGGCTGACAACTGACGCCTCAGGCACCCCTGCAGAAATCGCACCTGAGTCACCCAAATTTCTGCGGCTCTACGTGAACTTTCCCTCCTGCTTCCCCAGAGCCGACCGACGCGTCGCCCCATCGACTTCACGAGCTCTGAACGAACGAACGCTGACCCCGACGCATCGGAAGACACCACGCGAGGCATGGTATAGATCAGACACAGGTCGGCGCACAATATCGGAGGTGTCAGAGGGTGGATATCTGTGCAAAGCATCGACAACATGGGCGCCGACACTCCCAAATCCCCTCCTCGGAGTGAGGAAGCGCAGAAGGCGCAGGATGCTCAGGACGAAGAGCAAATCGAGCGGACTCTCGCGACACTCCAGAATGGCGGAGAGCTGGGCATCACTATTGATGATACCCCTTTCGACCAGTCTGGAAAGGCCGACGATGCCCAAGACTTCGAGGATATTAGCGACGACGATCTTCCGGACGAGGAGGAAGGCGAAGGCAACGTTGCCACTTCCATGTCCGTTCCAGGTCTGACAGATGACGGAGGTACAAGCAACGACACCGACGACTTGTTTGGCGATGGACCGTCTTCTCCGATCGAAGTCCCTGGTCCGCCGTCACCAGCCCCTCACGTTCACGATCCCGACGACGCCGATCCATCACAATACCGCGACATTAACTTCGATCCTGAACCTGGCTACGAAGCTGCCAACCAAGATCCCGAGATTCCTGCTCCAGCTGAGACTGCTGAAGATTTGGTCAAGCAGGCCTGGCCGACCTGGGAGAAGGGTGTTATTCTGAAATGGAACGAACTCTTGCCTCCCAAGAAGGCCCGGTGGATCGAGAAGAAGCCCACCAAGAAGCCAAAGACCCTTATCTTCTCCAAGCTCACCCTGGATCTTGCCGCCGACCAAGAGAAGCTTTTCCGCATCCCCGGACCCGCGACTGTGACTCGTAAGCAGAGACGCATCGACGACGAGTCTAGAGGACTCATGTCTTGCGCTCCGCAAGAGTCTTCAGACGAAGCTGAAGCTGAAGAATTTAATCTCGAGCAAGAATCCGATTCGGAAGCAGTGGCGGGTTTTACGCTCCAAGACATTGAGATGGTGTGCGATGACTGGTCCATCCGTATTGAGCAGGCTGAGCAAGACTTCCGCGATCAACAAGCAAAAGAGGCTGCAGCCGAGGCAGCCGCCGCGGCTTCCGTCAAGCGTGCCCATGATGACGCTTTTGATTTCGACTGGGAGGCTGAGTTCATGGAAGATGAAGAGCCAAAGCCGCCACCTAAGAAGAAGACGCGTCCGCCACCGCCAAAGGGCTTGCCAGAAATTCCTCGATTCACCGCACCATCATTCGACTCCTTTGAGGATGTGACCAAGCGCGCCTCCAAGCGTGTCATTCTCGATTTGAACGACCCGTATCTTCTCCTAGAAGAAGCCGAATCGCAGCGTGGCCCCAAGCGTCAACGTGTGGAGCAGAAGATGACGCGCATGGCGAACGGTCACCTGAGACCTGATTTATCTTCTCGTTTCAACATGTCCAACGACGATGCGTATGAGGCGCTCAAGGAGAACCATCAACACAAGGTCAGAGCAACTCTGGGGAATCTTGCCGTCGAGCACAGTATGCCCGCGCTTAAACTGGCATGGCCGTTCTACAAGGTCAAGCTGGACATTCGACGAGATGGATTCCACCGGCCTCATTTCAAGTTTGGCAAGCATGAGCGTCAGACGATCAGGTTCAGCAAATTGGGCTTCCATAAGCGCAAGACTATGAAGGGAAAGGCTCATGAGGTCTTCAAAACCACCAAGGACTTGGGCATAACGGACAACTCGACGGCTGTACTCTTTGAGTACTGTGAGAGAACGCCACCCGTTCTTTCCAACTTTGGCATGGGAAACCGTGTCATTAACTACTACCGCAAAAAGAAGGTCGATGACGAAGAGACGCCACCAAAGATGGAGATTGGTGAGTCTCACGTCCTCTTGCCCGAAGACAGATCCCCTTTCGCCATCTTTGGCGAGGTCGAAGTGGGACAAACCATGCCTACTTTGCACAACCAAATGTACCGGGCGCCCATCTTCAAGCATAAGCCGCGGTCTACAGACTTCCTCTGTGTTCGCAGCTCAACAGGCGTCGACGGAGCCAACTGGTACCTGCACAAGATTGATCATCTTTACGTGGTTGGCCAGACTTTTCCTAGTGTTGAGGTCCCCGGCCCTCATTCTCGAAAAGTCACGAATGCTTCGAAGAACAGAATCAAGATGATTTCGTACCGCATGATGAGGAGGAACGAGCACCATTTGGTAAACCTATCAGAGGTGACGAAACATATTGCCGAGTCTACGGACGCTCAAAACCGGCAAAAGCTCAAGGAGTTCCTATCCTACGCCAAGGTTGAGAAAGGACTCTGGGGCCTTAGGAACGGCGAGACTCTCATGGATGAGAACTCAATACGAGCGATGATCAAGCCTGAAGACGTCTGCCTGATTGATGGTATGCAGTTGGGTATGCAGATGCTGGAAGACGCTGGTTTCGACCCTAACAACGTCAACCTGGAGGACGAAGGCGAAGAGGTTGCCGAGGATGAGGACGACGATCGCACGGGTGCAGGCACTGCCAAGGGTAGTAAGAAGGCTGCCGAGAAGAACGAAGAAAAATTAGCAGACAAGATGGCGCCGTGGAAAACCAGCAAGGCTTTCATCGACGCATGTGCTGGCAAGGCTATGCTCAAGCTTCACGGACAAGGAGACCCGACTGGTCATGGCCTTGGATTCAGTTTCATCAGAACTTCCATGAAGGGCGGCTACATCGAGACTGTCCAGAAAGGTGGATCCCATACCACTGCAGCTGACGCCATGGCAGCACACCCTGACGCACAGCGGAAGGCGAACAACGGCCACGCTTACAACGTCAAGGAGCAAGAAGCCATGTACAGAAAAGGCATTCGTGAAATTTGGGACAAGCAAAAAGACAGTCTGGAGGATAGCACACAAAAGGACGATGACCTCGTGGTGCCTCTGCCACCAGACGAAGATGACCGGTTCAACCCCCAGCGAGCCCAGACTCCTGCCCATGCCGACGAAGGGATGAGTCAAATTACCGGCCTGACGACATCGACTAGCCGGAATCAGCGAAAGAAACTCAAGATTACCCGAGAAGTTCTCAATGATCAAGGTGCTGTCGAGCAAAAGGTCATCATTCTCGAAGACCCTGTGATTATAGACCGTTATATCAAGAGAAAGAAGGAGTTGGAGTTGGAGGATTTCAAGTACGAACTCCCACCGCGTTACCCCCCTCCCGATCCTATTTCAGGTCTATTATTCAACCTTCATGCGCTCCCCGCTCACATAATCTCGTGTTTAGTATCTACGAAGGACGACCGACTGGTGTCGCTGATGACGACCGCCGTCGTCTGGTTGAGTAGGCATTATCCTTCCGTAGATGCTGAACACTTGATTGACCACCTAGCAGGATTGATAAGGAGCTTGAACGGCTCAACCGAAACAAGCAGCGACGCATCGGACGAGAGCAACAAAAGGGACTCCACCGTTCCAAGAGTGGACTCGACGCAGGGTCCCCGGAAGCAGACCGCGCTGCCACCGGTACAACCCGAAAGTGTGCCAATTGTGGACAAGTCGGACACATCAAGACAAACAAGAAGTATTGCTCCCTTTGCTTTTCCTCTACCTCCCCGTCCCAGTTCAGATCTCCGGAGCATGTTCAGACGTGGGGGAAACAATCGCTGGGTTCTCAAGCGGGAGCTCCTGTTGAGGGCACGCCAGCGAACACCAGCCCCGCCAAAGCAAAAAAGCGGCGGGATTCAAAAGCACAGGATACGCGACCGCTCAAATGAAAAGGCCAATAGGCGGGCATCGTCCAAGGGACAGCCAAAACAGCCCCAAAAGCCAAAGGCAAAGAAGTTCAAGTACAACAAGTACACATCCAAGCCCTACTGGCACAACAGCAGTATGAGCACTAGGGTCATATAAGCATATGCTCCCTTGGCCATCATCACTACCTGTTGCTTGCTTTCCACAGTCTTCTCTCATTACCTACCCAACATGCTTTCTCTTTCTCTCCACTTCCCCCATGACTTCTGTTCCATATGCACGCATACTAACCCTTGCAAAGGCTTTGTCCTATGCTTAACGGCACGATGAAGACCGACAACGGCATCGCAGAACATGGCGGTTTCGGTACCTACAATGCCCCAGCTGCTGGAGCCGGTTCTCCCGGGCAATGAACGACTCGAGACGACGTTGAGTTCGGACGGCGGAACCTAGCAGCTGTCGGAGGCTCCAACGGACCAGACGTTGCAGCGCAGGACACTAAAATACGGTTGAGACGACAGACTCCGAACAACCGGACGGCCGGTAGCTGTTCCCGGCGCTTACCAAATAATCAACAGCAAAGGCTGCAGCTGGTCGCTTAACTACCGACGAACGTTCCAGAACGGGGGAAGAACCCCACCCGCAACCACCCGGTTGCTAACAATAGGGCTATGCCAAGCGATTTCACGCAAGGGGTCAAGGGGTTCAGGCACAATGAACAGACTGGGAAAGTTCATGTTGAAGAAAGGTTGGGGTAGTTGCGAGCGTTTGGACCAGAGAAATCTCATACAAGAGGTCGGACCGAACAATCCAAAATTGGAACCCATCATGCAATTCGACAATCAAGGGGGGAAAAGGTGTGTGTACGATGACAAAAAGGAAAACAATCTGAGGGGTGAGCCCTTGGAGCTTGGGGGATTTGGAAAGGCTTGATCAACATTGTCAAAACTGGACGGGGCAGACTTAATGGACTGCTCTCACGTCACGACGAGCAAGGGGAGAAAAAAAACGATGCCGAATGGTGGGAAGGAGGGGGGGTTTTGGCAAAGCGGTTAAGCAAAGCATGTAATGATGCATCGGCACGGCGTCTGGTGTTGTTAAGTTTAGCCACAGCCGCGTAAAGCGTGGGTAGTAGCCATCTCATCACACGCGTGGGAAATTCATTTCAACAAAGTGACTAACTAACTACTACTGCTTCTTCTCCGTTGTGGTGATGTGTGTGTCGTTACTCTGCAGTGATGGACGCGTTGGTCCAGCTTACCTTGGTTTCCGAGGTTGGAGGATCCCCCCCCCCCCCGGTTAGATATTGCATGCCATTCTCGGGGTAGCTAGCTAACTAGCTAGTGTGGGCGGTTGGGTGAATGGGGAAGGACAGTAAGGGGAGGCTCTTGGAAGAGGCTAGCATGGGCCGATGATTACATGGAGGTGAAGAGGAGGTAGTGCAGGTTGCCGGGAGAACTAGATGCGGTAGAAGATGAACATGGATTGGAGAGACGGGAAGATCAGAGACAGGTAAGGGTAGTGTAGATACCTAGACACAAACATGGGTGGGGGAGAGGTCCGAGGAAGGAGGGGGGGGAGAGAAAGAACCCGGGATTTGTGTATGTATCAACGTGAACTCTCGCGGCGCCATCATCTTCTTTCCCAGATTGGCGAATCGGGTAAATAACGACGGACGATGGCCGGGCTAATTTAGGGAAAGAAACAAGGACGAGCTTCGAGAGATGGTGAGATGGGGGGGGGGGGGGAGGACGTCAAAGAGGGATTGGATGAGGGGAACAATGAGTGATACGTCCCCAACAAGGGCATTCTAGACGCGCCGAAACGATCAAGACTTTTTTGTTTGGAAAGGGAAGAAAGGTGGCCTAGGGATTGTTTCCATTTGGACCATTTGGAGGTGGGGTTTGGTGTCCCGCTTGTCAGATCGAGGTTGCTTTGGCTGGGACCTCTTTTGACGTAGTCTAGGTGTGGAAACCCATCCGTGCAAGGTTTAGGGAACTCTGAACCAGTTTGTGGTTGATTAGGGAGAAAGGGGAAGGGGGTGGGGGGAGGGAAGTCAAAGTCAGATGAGAAGAAAACAAAAAGCGTGGATTGGATGGGATGGGATGGGACGCGGTGGGATGCGCGGGTTGCAATGAACATGTGGTTGGTGATTGCTGCTGCTGCTGCTGCTGCTGCTGCTGCTGATGATGATGATGATGATGATGATGGTAGGTTTGGTGGTTGGGGTTATACAAGGGCCTGCTCCTCAGAGAGAATATCAAGTCTTCTGCCAAGCCAGGTGTGTGAGAGCATGGTTTCTCCAAAACCCCCCAGCCTGGTTTTGCGGCGCCAGGAAACATTGACTAGACATAGCAGAGGTGGAGCAGATGTGTTTTACCCACCGACAGCCTACAGCCTACAGACTACGTAGATGTACTGTGTAAGTCGGAAAAGACGTGTAATCAATCGACAAAAGGCAAGGGGGGATAATTGGCTCCCGAGATGCAGTGGTGCGTGCGTGTGTGGTTCAAAAGGCCTTTCGGTTTGGCTTTATGGGAGGGAGAGAAACGGTCGCCAGGTCGCGTGGCTGCGGAGCAAGAGGTGAGCATATGCACGCCAAGTTGTGTTGTGCTAAAAATAAACCTATTTTTAGAACCGCAGGGCATGGGTTGGACAACCTCGCAGGGGGGCATGGAGAGGGGGAGAAGCACGTCTGCACCACCAACCTGCATAGGGCTTCTTGGATCGTAGGGTGCGTTTGGCCAATCGGCTTGGGATTTGCACCCAGGAACACCTTCGGTCTCTTTGCTAGCCTCGAAGAAACATGCATGTCGAGCTCACACCGTCACAACCCAGAAAGAGGGAAACCTGGGAAAGTGATGCGTGTGTGGATGGATGGGGATACAAGAGGCTCTTTTGCGCTTCAGACACGGCAAGTTTTTTGATAACCTGACCGGGGTGGGTACGCCGTGCCGGAGGAGGAAGATGTGAAGTCAAGCATTTTCGTTCGTTCTGCCCAACCCCCATACCCAAACCCGGCTCCGAAATGTTGGACTAGCGTCATGCTCGTTGGGAATGGGCCGGCGCTTAACTTAATGATATGGTTAAATTTCGATTTAGAAATGAAAAAAGGTGGGATGGCGTGTTGCCGGTTGATGATGGGACGGAGACATAATTGTGAATTCTTGCGACGACAGCGGTTATCGGCTCGACCTTGCTTTAGTTTGAATCTTTCCCCGGACGAATTAGATGACTGCTGCTCTGTAGAAAGACGAACCCTCTTGTGACGAGACGGGATATTTGACATGGGTTTACCGGACCTGTTGATGTCGCCGTACGGCGTACGCAAGAAGAAGTTGCTAATTCGGGATATCTCGATCACATTCTTTGGCGAAAGGGCCGCATTGTAGGCGCGTATGAGGAGATCGAGAAGGAAGGGGGGGTTTCCGAGTGGTTACTTGGCCTCTTTCTTGGGTCGTCTTCTTCGCTCGCAGTCATACAATATCGGTAGCAGACTTGTCTGAACGAGGAGACTGCGTACCATAGATTCCAGTAATGATGTTGTTTCCTGGAGAAACAGAGCTTGGCAAAGGGCTATTCTAGACTGTTATCAGTGATTCCAAAGCAAAGGCCCCCGTCGCCGCGAAGCTTGTCAGCCAAAGACAATGATTCAAGCTGGAGATGCCCAGCAGAAGTAGAGGAATTGGTGTTTTTCGAATGTCCAACCATCTCTGGGCGTTCTGGGGGGGAAAAGGGCCCTGACATGACCCAGGCACGCCAGGGCAACCGGTGGGAAGATTGTCATCATGGACGCGGGGTATCGTTGAGGGTGGAGACCTGATCTAATTCGAGATGATGGGCGACTGGGTTCATCAAACAGGCGCGGGATGTATGTAGGCGAGGGAGGGGGGCCTAGATGCATGTGAAGCGAGATCTACAGCTGAGAGCCGTGGGAGCGGACGGACGTCGTCAAAATGGCCCTGACAGTAACCGGTTTGGCAGCTGTACGTGCAGACAGGCACCTTCGGCGGGAATGCCGCATTGCTGGGATGATACGTAGGGTCTCTTTGAAGACTGGTCCTGTCTGTGGAATAGTCCGCCGAGGGGATGGTTCTGATGTATTAGTTCCCCTCCCGGTCCACCTCTTGTGCACGCTTGAGATGCGGGAGCATGGTCATGGTCGACCCGTGACCCCAGGGAAGGGGTTAGACGGCTAGGTACCTTGCATGGTTGGGGTGGTGATTGGGACCTTGAAAAGTGTCCGTTTGGTTTGGCGATGGCCTCGCTCTGTCGTGGGCCAGGGGAGGGAGAGGGGGACTCAGACTCTGACAAAGGGTGAGATGTACACAAGAAAAGGGGCAGATAGACGACAGGAGCGTGGAAATGCAGGAGCCGTTGACGCCAAGGCTGGACCTCGAACTCAATTGTCCAACCTGAAGTAGGGTACTGAATGCCGGACATGATATCGGGAGGGCTGAGTCGGTTTCGACACAATGGAGACTTGAGAATGGATGACAGATTCCCGTGCTTGTGGTCCCTGGGAGTCTTAGTATGGTCCATTGAAGATGGGCCGCGGTCTGTGCTGAGCATCACGATTCACAGAGCCAGTGCCTGTGTAGCAGTAGCAGACTGAGAGTTTCCTTCTGTTCTGTGCGTGTCCGCCGCGTCCCACCGGTTGTTCCTGGCCCTGAATGCAAGTGATGGTTCCTGCGTTCCTGCGCCGGCGGCGATGGCGGCGCGGTCGGATGTTGTGGTGGGAAGGAGAGGCTCAATATGCGGCCCGGGCACGTTGTTTGCTTGGGTTTTGGTGTAGCTGATGACGGCCTACATCCCTACCTCATGGCCTTACGGCGTTATGCTTCTGCTTAGGATGTGCAGAGTAAGCAGTTAGGTGATCGGGCGGACGGGGACTTGTGCGCGAGTGTGGGTGGTACCGGCTGGGCGAGCGAGGGATGGACGGCGATGCTTGGTGAGTGATGATTGTACAGTAAGGTATCTAGGTACGGTGTATCGTGTATGGGTGGACGGGTTGTAACTTGTAACCTGTGGGATATTAGCAAGGTCCAGGGAGGAGGAGCCCGGTTCTGAGTTCCGGCGCATGTCGAGTCCACTTGAAGTTGACCAGGTCGAGGCTTGCGGAACGTCAATGCTCTCGGCTAGTGTAGAGAGATGGCCTTGAGGGTCTCGATCTTCAGACTTTCTGGGTCTTACTTGGTCTATAGGGGTAAGTTTAATCCCCTGGCTCGGTACCGATCCACAGACAAGGGTCAACGCACTAGTTAAATCATTAGCACTAAATAGCTAATATAATCAATAATTATTAGATCTTAATTAATTTCTATAGCTAAATTAGTATTTAATATATATTCCGTTAGTATTAATTATTACTTAGTAACGCGCGGGTATTATATTTAATAATAAGTATAAGAAGTCCTCTAAAAGGGTATCCTAAGCCTCTTTAACTTATTATTATAATATATTATATAAGGGGTTTTTTTATATACTTATAAGCTCCTATATATAATCCTTTATTTAATTCTAATACGTTTTAATAAGGTTAAAGTTAAGTAAAAAAAGCGGCTAGAATATTAAATAAACGCTACAGTTATTAAGCTCTTACTAAGTTAACTCTGCGTTATATACTAAAATACTATCTTATATTAAAATAAAATTATTATTATATATTTATTAATAAAAGCAAATCTAACTATTAATAATTAATATAATATATTCTTAATAAGTATTAGTACGTATATTACTCTAATCTTTTTTTTAAAAAATACCTAGTCCCTTCTAATTTTTAAAAAAATATTCTTAGAATATCTAACCCCGCTTATATTAATACCTTTTAATAATATATATTAAGTCCTATTCTTTATTATAATAGTAAGTAATATAAAGCTTATAATAATAACTACTTATAACTTATATCTTATCTATTTATAAGACCTTTTACTAATTTTTAATAATTTAGTAAAAGTGCTCTTAAGCTTAAGCGAGATACTTAATTTAATTAGCCTCGGATATAAGGGGCTTATAGCGAGTAATATAATAATAAAACCCGAGCTAATATAAGGCTACTCGTATTACGTAAATACTAAATTAAAAAAAAAATATAATTAAAAATAATAAAAAAGAGGCCTAGCGGCTATTTTTAAAAAAAGTAATATACTTAATAAAGGCCTCCTCCTATTATAAAGTTATAACCTATAAGTAGCTAAAACGTAGCGCAATTATTATTAATAAGGCCCTTATAACTATACGGACCTAGTCTTTTATAAATCTAATTAATTTAATTATTTAAGCTTATATAAATTTTATATTAATATATAGCGTACGAATCTATTAGTAATTAGCCTTAGTAAGGTACTTCGTTATACTATTTATTAACTATATTATATTTATAATAATTCGTTAAAAATAAGGTAAGTAAGTAAGTAGGTAGTATATAGGAAGAAGAATTTATAATTAGTAAAAAAGTTAGGCTAGGCCAATTAGTAGGCCTATACTAAAATGGTAGCTTCTGATTAGTCGAATTGCCCATAGAAGGCAGGCACGGGCCATCCCCACCGGTACCTAACAAGGGGGTTAAACTTTGGCCTGATACCGTAGTAGTATATTCGGACAGTAGTCTATGGTCTGCTCGCGGTATTAGTTTCCTTGACGCAATAAGAGAGAAAAGAGGTGAATTGCAAGGCAAGGCAAGGTTTGGTAAGGTACGCAGCCAGGTCAGGAAGGAGCAGTGTCGCCGGAATCATCCTCGCAGTTTCCGCAAGTTGTACGTAGTAAAGCCGCAAACCGCACGCGCCTCATGTCGGCTAGACGTCAAATGTCTCGACGACACCTGCCACATGTATCCTGTCTGCAGTGTCTCACTAGCGGCAGCGCCGTCGAAGCCGGGGCCGGTACCTTGGCTGGGTGGGGTGGGTACAAGTGGCACCCACTAGACCCTGAGACAGTGCGCAGGATGGCGGTGGAGATTGCGTTTCAACACTGTCCTCGTAAACCAGAACAAGCAGGCGCCACACAGTGTTCGCGACCAGTCTCAGCTCTTGACCTCATTCCCTGCCTCTTCACAATGTTGTTTCACGAGCGTCCGCAACGGCCACCAGGACCCCCCGTCATAAGAACGCACGCACCAAGAGTCCTCGCGACCTTGCCTTGTCTGTGGTAGTGAGGCCCAAGGTGAAGTGCTACGGCGCAAGTAAGGTGAGAGCAGGACCGGCCTAGCATTAGCATCTAGCATCTAACATCTAGGCATAATGTCAGGAGTGAGTGAGCCCAAGTGAGATGACGGGTGCCGACTAGACTGGTCCACTCACATCCAACTGCGAATTGGCAGGGCCTGGAGACATTGGATACTTTACACGATAACACAATAAGATACCTACCGAGGTACTTCGTACGGAGTAGACATGGAAGAAGATGAGGCCTTCTGCTTCTGGACGCGGCAGACGAGAGTAATCAGCGACCTTTCCTCACTCAGATTTGCTCACAAGTACCTACCTACATAGTGAGACGAGACTGGCCACTGAACAGTGAATACCTAGTCAAATAGCGAATGATCAGAGACCAACCTGAAGTGAGAGGAGCAGGGGTTCATTGGAGTAGGTAGGTACACCGGACCCCCGCCCCGTTTTCCTCCTTTTCCACTCTTTTTTTTTTTCTCTCTCCCGTTCCAGTCCCTTTTTTATTTCTTCCGTCACCCAGTTCATTCGCTCCCCGAAAACCCCCCCAGTCCCGTTCTCGGCCTAGGATTCGTTCATTCATCGACCCCCATTCCCTGTCACTTACCCCCCGGTCGTCGCTCTTTTCCTTCCCTTCCCGCCGTCTCCAAACTGCTGGCTTGCTGCTAGGTACTAACGCTGCTGCACCTGCTGATTGATGCTTGCGCTGCCCGCCGCACTGCTCTCTGCTGTTCCCGCTCCCCGATTTCCACCTATTCTATCTCTTTGCCGCAACCTCACTGGCCGGAGGTTCTCACTCACTCATCTTCGGTACCTACTCCGTCTGCTACACACCCGACTCTTAGGTCGCTGATGTGGGCTTGCCTTGCCTTGCCCCCATTACCTACTCCTCCTGCTGCTACCATTACCACCTTACCTTACACCTGAGGTACTGTACCGGGCTGGCTGGCTGCACCTAATACTGTTGCTTCCCCCTCCACCATCCATTCCCATTCTTTTTTTCCCCCTTCCCTCCTTCAACTGTCCTGCCTTCCCGCACCCAAAAAGTGAACACGATCGCGTCTATTATTAGAATCATCCACGCCAGATTCAGCCCCATCGACCTGCACCTCACATCGCCTGTCCATCCCAGAACCTGTCGCATCTGCACTTGTAATGGGATCAATGTACGTTCTTGATGCGTCGTCTTGTCAACTCTCTCCCCCTGCTCTGACAGCCTTTTGCTCCCACCGCCTGTCATATACCGTTGCTCCCGGGATGCGCTGCCTTGTCCCATGCAACCACTGACTGACGCATCGCCAGTTCGGAACCACTGCCCACGACCCAGCCCATTTAGATAAAAGCGATCAGCCCTCCCCGGCCTAGCTCTTGTTTCCACCTCACTTTCCCGACCAGCCAAGCTAGTCGCTGCGATCAGATATATCCAGCTCGCGTCCCTCCTCCTCCTCCGAGCTCCAACCAGTCTCTCGCTTCCTCGAGACCCTCACCCTCATCCTCACCCACAACCAGTCGACCCTACATCGCGACTGCAACGGCTGAGACCTCGCCGACGACGCCGCCGCCGCCGCCGCCGCGATATCGCTGATCGGTCTCGAAGTCGCTCGCCTCGACAACGTCTTCGCCCCCGTACAACGCGTTTCGCTGCCTCATACCCGTCAGCAGCCCCTTCCAGAGCATCTAATTCAAGATGGGACGCAGAAAGATTGAGATCAAGGCCATCAAGGATGACAGAAACCGCTCTGTGTAAGCTCGCGCCCTGACTATCCCTCGCCATACCCAGAAACCTTTGGCTAACAGTCGCGTCGCATATAGTACTTTTCTCAAGAGAAAAGGCGGTTTGTTCAAGAAGGCGCATGAGCTTTCCGTGCTGTGCTCCGTCGACGTCGCTGTCTTTATATTCGGCAGCAACAAGAAGTTGTATGAGTATTCTTCCACGGATATGCGGGAGATGATCACTAGATACACATACGTGAGTTCCTCCAGTCTTTCTGGGTCGCGAATGCATAACGCTGACCCTGAGATAGCATGGCGGCCCGAATGAACACAAGGGCCCTTCAGACTTCAACGGAGGCAACGACGAGGACGAAGATGAGGATCCTGAAGGTACCCCGCCGCAAGAGTCTCACATGATTCCGCCTCAGTTCCAAGGACAAGCGCCATTCCCTCATATGCGACACCACACTCCCTCAGCTTCACCTCCGATTCCTAATGGCGTGCCTTTCCCGCAACATCATGGCCTTCCCGTCCAACGCGGCCACACCCCGCAGCCGGGTA